TTTTTTTGATCTAATGAAAATGCATCCTACAAAATTATTTTCAGAGCAAAATTGCTACTATAAAAGAATGCAATAGCTTCCATATAATATTTTTTGCAAAGAATAAATTTCTTATCTTTCTAAAAGTTGTAGGAATTGAAATTAAATAGTCATACAAATTGGTACTCCTCTAATCTGATAGACTACATGTAGAATCTTACTTCTGGCTAGAGATCTAGATTTTAAGATCCAAAAAGGGAGAGGGTTTATTTTATTTAAAATATTTTTTTAATTATGTAATAGTTTGTTTTTACATCATTTTGTGCTTTTTCCATCTCAGTTGTAATCCCTGTGGGCTTCCCATCAGCATATCAGCCATGTGCCAGCACCATAGGGGAGAGGATTTATTTTTAATATTAATGTCTTTAGCAGCTAAAACAGTATCTGGTCCCTACTAGTTATTCAATAAATATTTGTTGAATGAACATTTAAAATATTGCCAGGACCCAGTATTATGCTAAGCACAGTAATATAAATACTGAAGTTTTATTATACACATGTATTCTTTTATTGAGAAGTATGCATCAGCTATAGTTACTATGTTTACTAACATCTGACCTAAAATGAAATCTCATGTTTTTTCTCTTTAAATAACATGTAAATATATTAACACTACAGGAAGACAAGTTTGTATATTTTTTCCTCTGGCTTAATAGTTTTTCTTTTTCTATATATATATAGGTTAATTAAACTATGTAGACTTTTGACAAAAATCTTGAAGGACCACTCACCTTCACTATCACACCATTCTAGAAACGTAAGGACCCGAGCATTTCCCTGGCACACCATGTATTCTTCTATCAACAAAGGAGCCACTGATGACAAAGTAGCAATTGCATGCAACTGTAATTCTTCATATTGTGCAGCAGACCATTCAACTGTTTTTTGTTTCTCAGGCTTTTTTACATAGGTAAACAAAGCCAAAATAACTTTGCCATCAATTAGTAACTATGAGAAAGGGCAAAAAAGTACTTTGTTAGAAACATAATTCAAACAATTTTATTTAATCTCAGAAAGTTACATAAAAGATTTCCAATAGGATGTTTTATTGATGATCCTTTCAAAATCCTTCCTTCCTAAGGCTCCCAACCCAACTTAAGCACAAAAACAACTTAATAATAACAACCATTCATTATATTCCCCTTTTCTGTAAGCATGCTTTGGCTGATAGTTATATAAATTAAGTATTTGGGTTTTTTCTATGCTGCCCATATATATATATTAGCATTATAGTAAGATCACAGGAGTAGAAAATTTGGGACAAAAAACTGCTGGCATTTCTTTTTTCCCACCTTTTATTTAAAGAAAACACTTCACAGACTAAATTGTATACTGTAAAAATTATATAAGAAATAGCCATGTTTATTTTTGAGCACACCAACAGAAGATGTGTGTATATATATATATATGTATATATATATACATATATATATACACACCCACACACACACACATATATGTATATACATATTCTATTGAGTGAATAGTACTCAAATCACAAGCCATTTTATTTTATTATATGTATGCCTAGAATTTAAAAATTGTATTGAATCAATGATTTCAATAAAAATAAACCAAAAATACATAACTATTAAGGAAAGCAAGTTAAAATTATTATAATGATGCTGATTTATGTACATAAATGGTTTATAAGTCAGCAAAACCACATGCTATATAGTATTCAATTTTCTTTTCATCCGGTATTATTCTGTAAGGAATGTTTTTCCTATGGTTTTTCACAATAACACCTATGAATTTCTCAAATGTCCACATGGAAAGAACATATTATTTAGTATTAAGAAAACAGAAATAATGGGCCCTCCCTGGTGGCGCAGCGGGTTAAAGCACAGCACTAAGAAGCTAAAGCCACTTCCTCATGAGTTCGATTCCCGCCTGCCCCGGAGG